ATAAAAAACATAATATTTATGATTAATAATATTTGTATGCGTTGATTTGTAAAAATAATTATAATTGAAAATTACTTTTATAGCGTTTTCCACTCTTCTGAACTATTGCATCCAGGTGACAAATTAACCGGGATAATCGTAGTGAAATAAAAAAATGCAATACAGTATGCCCCAATTCTGTAGGTTAAACAAAATAATATTCATTAGGAAAACATTATAAATAACTAAATAATAATAATAAATATAATAATTAAAATTAATTTTATGTTTAACAACTCTGTGGCTTGGTGCAAGAAGGGCCAATGTCAAAATTTGTTAATATGATTTAATAATGATTTGTTAATTTGTTTTGATAATTCAGCTGTAGTCTAAATTATACCTGCTGTAATATTACTCAAAATTCTTATCTTTTATTATCTACCTCCCGTCATCAGTCATTCTCACTTTCAAATGAATATAACTTTTGAACGGATGAATAAAAATACAAATTTTTTTTACCAATTCTTTTTTCAAAATTATTTTGAACAAAATGGCTATCTTGAAAAAAAATAAAAATATGTAATAAAAAATTTTAAAAAACTATTAAAAAAAGTAAAACAGGTAAGTGCAATAAAAACCACGGTGCTTATAGCGCAAATGAGTATAAATTATTAAAAATAAAAAATCTCAAAAATATTCACTAGAACAAAAGTTATTTCATTTGTCAAATCTTTGTGGGTCACCCCGTATACTATAAACGAATTAACGCAGGTAGACGGACAGCGATGTGCTGTTTTTATTAACACTAACACATAACGTTTAACGTTAATTTAAAATATATATGCATTTCATTCCATTGGAATATCATCCTGTATACTATAAACGAATTAACGCAGGTAGACGGACGTATATTATATCTGTACGACGTTATTCTTTATCTATGATTATTATTATATTTTGTTTGGTACTTGTTATTATTATTATATCAGGCTTTCAGTAAAAAAAAATGTAATTTTTTAATTTAAACTGCCCCTACTTGCCCCCCCCCTACGGACGCCCTTATCTGAGAGGTGGTAATTAGTTTTTGTGGAAATCCTCCTCATCTATACATTTTTAGTCAAATATGATTAAGTTAAAACTGTTTGTGTAATGATATTTTATTGAATACGTGTACAATATACACTATACGAATAATACTATGAATAATAAAATAATAGTAATATATTGAACTACGTTATATTTAATTAACGTGTTCAGAAAGCTGGAAGTGTCTTAATCGAACTATGATACTTTTTTGGAAAACTACAAACTTAAAAATAGTTCTTATTATAACTAAGCTAACTATAGTTTACTAAATACTAAATGCTATTAGAAATATCATTTGAAAAATTCAATAAAAGTTGAAAAAACGTGATTTAATGGTGAATTATAAATTTAAAACAACTTCCGTAGCGCAGAGTAAACGTTCTTAACTGGCTTTAACTGTTTGTATTTTTTTATCTAAGGTATTTATTGAACTGTACTACTGGAAGTTCATTGAAATGTTTTTTTATTAAATTGTAAAACACATTCGGCATAAAAAAAAAATCGATCAATATTTTGGAGTACAGCTCGGTCATAGTTGGTTTGCTTATATAAAAGTAGTAAAATTGTAACTTTTTAGTTAATATACTTAACCTGACAACTTTCCAAGAACTTACAGCAGTTTAAAGTTAAATTTGGAACATTTAAAATTGTTTTTATAATTTTCAAAAGGGAGTAGTAACCTTGTAACCTTGTAGTTATTTATTTGTTATGAATATATCTATATATATATATATACAATTACATATTTTAAACACGTAGCGGTCTTAACTTATAGGCCCTAATAATAGTACAAAAAAGGAAGTTCCCACAAAAACGGTATATTAGTATTCTAACATCCGAGTTCGGTCTCTCCTGAAATAGCCATTCCGGGTTCACACTGAAAGAAAATTCGTATTCGCGTAGATGGCTGTCAAACGCCGAATATAGAAACCGCCTGGAGTGCACAAGCGGAAATCACTTCTCAAAGTACATTTATATACATTGACAGTATAGCTGTGGTCGATAGGGATAAAACCAAGTTGTATCAACAATTTTAAGTCACCGTGTAGAGCTAATAGTCATACAGTAGGTAATACGAAAATGAAATACTTTTATAAGAAGAAAATATGTCATTTCCACTGATATTCAGTAATAGCTTTTCCATTGTTGACAATTGAAATTGAAATAAACTGTCATCGTAGTAAAATGTTAGCACAGTAGGGGAAATAAGCAATTACACTATATTGATTGAAGTATGAAAAAGTTTAAACGAAATAAAATCGCCTACCACAATATGTAATACAGAACGACGTAAGACTCATTTTCTAGGAAAATGTTTTTCCCCTAAACTTTGAGGTAAGTATTTTACTATATTTTTCAATACGAAAAAAAGTTTTGCATTTATCGCTTATGATAAAAGAAGTATGGACTTCATTTTTTTCAAATGAGAACATGTGTTTTTAGTTCCAAAAATATGTAGGTTTGAATTTTGAATTTTCATCAATCTGTTCGTTTGCTATGACATTACAAAGATTTGAATTTAAGATCAATATTTCAATATTCGTTTGGTTTCTACAACAGTAGTACAATAGTTTTCCATTAAATAAAAATATTGACCCCCGTCGATAACACTTGTCACCGTCACTGTGCTTGAATATGTAGATAAGGTCCACTTGTCTATCATTATTACAAAACGTTTCATTATGTCTAGTTATTGGGTTCTCACATACAAAACAATGCGAACATAAATATGAATTTAGCAAACCGAAAACATATGATAATTGTAAGAGGAAATGTAATATATTTGCAAAGCATATAGCAAATTAACAGATTGACGAAAATTATAAAATTCAAACGCTAACATTGTTTGTCTACATATTAATGGAATTAAAAACATGTGATCCATACACGCATTACGTTTAATGGATGAAGATAACTAACCTAACCTAACATACAAACATAGGAAAAACATTATTATTAAAACATTCATATTTTCTGAGACAATTATTGCCTTACATCAAATGGATACACTCTGTATATGTGTTATGGTAAGTTGTATATAGTACTGTCAAATTAAGATCAGTAACACAAATTTAATATAATATGTAACATAAACTGCAACTAAATAAAAGACTTTTACAAAAAAAACACTGATTTGTTTATTTCTTGCTTCTTGCGTGAAACACAAAAGTATTTTTTTCATGGGAAGTCTATAAGGTTCTATATGATGGTGGTGATCCATTTTGTGTAATTCCGGCGATACTGTTTATCGCATGCAAGCGTTATCACCAGGGTCGTTTGACGATATTAAATTATGTTATGTATGATTAAATATCAATATCCTTCATGAAATTAATTAAATCACGATTTAACAACATGTTATACCGGTAATACTATGTACTGCATATTAATGAACGGGCGTTCGTGAATTGTCACCTTCCATATTAAATTTAAAAACTAAGCCTCCGAAATGTTAAAACAGTTATAGGAAACTAATTTATTAGCTGTACCCGGTAGTAGAAAAAAATTCAAATATGTGTAATAAGTTGTAATAGAATGTGTTATAAATTATGTTGAGTTGATATTATTTTAAAACGTTGACAGTCTTTTGATCCAGTCCTATCGTCTGAGGTTGCGTTAAATATTAGCCCTTTGAGTGTTTTTTGTTTAATGTGTAATAGAAGAAAAGCACGGGGAAGCGGCGGTGAGTGGATATTTTAAATAAGTATGAAAACGTCTCTTAATCGGGGTGTGCATGTGTGTTTGTTTACTACAAGGGCTCAACTTCCTGCCTCTAGACTTACTATTACACAGTGTTATAATATAGTATACAGTACATACCTTGTCGTGGAGTTACTCGAAGCTCTATGACCTTGTCGATATTCCTTGAGTATGTGATCTTGATATGTCGAAGTGAACGTTGTTTTAACGCGAATGTTTTCATTCATAAAATATTTCAGACACTGGTGTTTTAACGTTATCTTACGACCATCTGTTTCTCGTTAAAGTGTAATTCAGTACACGGTCTACCAATGGTTTTATAATAATCAATGCGCTTGTCAGAAATAACAACGTCTACTGAGTTATTATAAGCCGACTACATTCCTTGCTGATCAAAAATAGTCACATGGGTGTAATAGGATTGTTCGACCGCTAGAATTAATGACCTTTAACGACACTTTTAAGAGGTATAGGTATAGGTATATGTATGAACGAAACAACAACAGTGTTTTTATTGCTTAATAATGACACGTGTGTGATAAGAAACTCGTACGGTTTTAAGTAATTGAATTGTAATGAGTATAGTATTTTCATATATCGCTACGGACTCGGCGTATGTATGTGTAAGGATAATAAGGAAGGATTATGTTATTGGTGGCCGCGGCGGACTGATAACAGCTATCCGACTTTGGCGTCCACACAATAAGGAAAGAAAGGATATTGGTGGCCGCGGCGGACTGATAACAGCTACCCGACTTTGGCGTCCACACAATAAGGAGAGGAAGGTTGTATGAGAGATGTGAGAGAGCAACTGCGCTTCGCTGCGCTGTAGGCTGGGTTAAATAGTGCGTTTTTGTGTTGGTTAAGTTCGTCTCGGTTAAGTTCGTGTCGAGTCGTGTGTCCGACCACTTCTATAATGAACTTATTGTTATGTAAATGTTACGCCTGTAATGAGTATGTACGCTATCTATTAGAGTATTTTAAGTTTATTGAAATTATTCAAAGAGGTTCTATATCACACTACGCGCGTTGTATATTGAATAATAATAACATGATAGTTCTATAAAAATGTCACATATAGTATAAATTTGAATATATAATATGTTATTACAAAATGATAGTTTAATAAATATAGTTAAAACTTAAACATATGCTTTATGTTACTACAAATGTTTTGTGTAAACACCACGCGTAGACTACCAAAGGGATGTGGACGACACGAAAACGAGAATCAGAACGGGTGAACCCTTTTTTGAAATTTAACACCACCACGACCCTTCCCTTACTAGCTGCAGTCTCCCAGGGCAGTACCCGACAGTCTGTTATTAAATGTTAACCGAGCCGCACGCACACTCCGGTTAGGCAGTCTGTTAGCCGCGTAAATTTCGAAATTATGTCTACTTTATAATTTGGTCGACAACGAGCAAACTTTGAACCATCAGTTATCAGCGGTCCTGTTAAAAGTAAACGGTAAGTAAATCTCACATCGTTTTATATTTTTTATGTGCTAGTGTTGTATAGTTTTTTCTGGACCAATTACGGTGATGAGACAACGTCTGTCTATAATAATTTGTTTCCATGGTTACTTATATCGTAATAATAATATAATGAAAATATTTTCAAATATTTGTTAACTGTTGATTCATAAACATTAGTGACCTAGAAATTTACAACGGTCAAAGTTTATGATCTTCTCTGTTTTTGGGTTTTCCTTAATATAAAAAAACTTTGACTACAGATTTTTTTTTAAAAAAACCGTACATGCTCTAGATCTATCTTCAGTCTAATATTCAGACCTTCAGTCCTAAAACTTAGAAACAAAGGAAAACATTTCTACCCCTTTTTTAAAATAAAAGTTTTATGATATAAGGTATAATAATATTTTTTTTTAATAATACCACGTATAAAAGATAAAGATATAGCGACATAATCAGAATAAACAAAAATATTTAAAAAAAAAAACTATGCAGTCACAATCAACAGATTAAATTTTATAAAAATGATTGTGTTTGTTTAAAATGTATAATAATGTAATTTTTCAAATGGTTTTTTAAATATTTTTTCTATTTTTGTGACTGGACTCACGTTTACCCTGCGTTACTACTCTATACAAGTGTTACACCGCTGCTACTCTGGCTCTCCTGGACCCAGTTTTTCAAATTTACCTCAAATTCCCAAATATACTTCTAGAATATTTATTTAACATAGTAAAAACAAATTCCTTTTTTATTTATAATATACCGATAATATATGCCGAGATTTGAACCACAGTTAGTGCGTAGAAACACTGCACAGTGGTCTAAAATCAAAAAACGGTGGCCAAAAATAAAAAAATAAAAATGGAAGATGTAATTTTTTTTTTAGGTTGTTATAATACTACTTAAGTTCTCTGAAAATTAAAATTAGAATTTAAAATATTGATTTGAAATTTTACTTACGAGTTGTTGAAGTTGGAAGAATCGAAAATAATTTGGTTGCTAATTCACGATTTTTATTATAATATATAATTATTTAAATTTTTTGGTAGTTAATTATTTTTTTAGGACAATTACATCATACTCAATCGTGATTTAAATGATTTTTTTCATCTAGAATGCATTTTACCCGGTGCATATTACAATTAGTGTAAAAACTCTTATTATAAAATCAAAAGATAACAACATTTTGCAGACAATATGTTATCGAATTAAAAAAAAATAATAGGAAAAAAGTTAAAATTATTTTGAAAAAGTAAAAAAAAGGTGATTTAAATCTTTAAATATTAGGTTTATAAAAAAAAGCTATGACATTGTTTCCAAAATCTTGTTATCCCCTCATTTTCGTTATAGGTATTTTGGTTTTAAATCGACAAGCAGCGATGGAACGCAATATGTGTAGGTATGTTTTAACGCTGGCAAATAAGATGTAATCGACGCGTCATAATGGGTACAATTTAAAATTATTAAACATAAATGTTGTCTTCTATTCTACTATACTGTTGTCTACTGTTGTACTAAAACATAAATAAAAAAATTCTCAAAAAGAAACATCACAAATTTGCAAATATTTTAAGAGTAAACTCTAGTATAGGGAAAGAATAACCCGGTATATACTATAGTAAAGAGGAGCGAAAACTTTGTTTATTAAATAGCAAAATATATGCAACAAATGACAAAAATCTATTTTGTAGCCATTTTAAATATACCATCTAGTTTTAAAAAGAAAAAATATTAAGTTTTTCTAGTTATACAACTTTAATTTTTTAAACGAATTTAAATTTTGTTTCATGTAGCTTACTATTTTCTCTGTTCGAGCTAAAATGCTGATTTTTGATGAAAAGTTATTAATAAGTAAAAACTTAAATGCTTTAATGACATTTTAAAAACAAAAATAAAAAATAGAAAATTTGCCGGTTTTTGTTCCATTTAATTTTAAGGTATTTAAAATAAAAGTCTTACTTGAAGTCGTGACTGATGTCGTATTCTTTTCTGTCTGGTATAACCATCGGGTGATATCGGATAGCTAACTGATGGCAGAAAATTTTATCCACTCTTGTTAAAGTTCCAACATTGACTACAACGCCTTTATCGGAAAATTTGAATATATGTACCGCCTCTGGGGTAGAGTAAGCGCGTAGAGCTATTTTTATCTGCGCGCATTACTCTACCGCACTCCACCTCCCATCGTACCCTTTAACGTTTAGTAGCTTAAAAAGTAATTATCAAAATCTAGTTATCGACCAGTCAAAATTTTCATCAAACTAATCTTAGTAAAATGGCTATCTTGAACTAAAAAAAAAAAATAAAAACATTATTTAAAAAAGTAAAATAGTTAAGTGCAATAAAAAACGTGTTGCTTGTAGCGCAATTGAGTAGAAACTATCCTATTTTTTTGTATACTTCAAATAACAATTTTATTACCCATAAGGATTTGACCTTTCTGATATATATCTTCTGAAAATTATTATTTAAAAATAAATCCTTTTCAGAATCAACATTTGTTCTTCAGCGGTGTATAAGACTTTACTCTAATGATCATAATAGGGTATACCCTACAATTGTCAAAGTTAATCTCATACTATAATAATAGATGAAGTCCTAGTGTTCTATTTCTCACTTTGTTTAACGCACATAGTATTATATTGTTTAACAAATCTTTTGGACTTTATTTTAAAAAACAATGTATTTTGTTTCCGTAAAACTCTTGGAATGTTTATCAAACCCGGTTTTGACTTAATTAAAAATGATAATATTATATAAGCTAAGCACTTAGTTAAAAAATCGATACACATTTTATTTGTATTTACATCATCAATGTGACTTAGAAAATAATAAATATTATGTTATTATTTAACAAACAGCTAAGCAACTATGGTTATTATAGTTAAAAAAAAAGTTAAGTATTTCAAAAACCCTAAACTACAAAAAATAATTAACTTTATTGTTTACGCGTATTTTAGTAGCAATGCTATCATTGTCAGGGCTTACAACAGATTTGGTCTGAACTTTTAAATATTTGGTTATTTTAATTCTTATCCATCATGTTATAAGAGGTTAGTGAAGTGTGGTGAAACCACCATTATATTTATATACCATTCGGTTCAGAAGAATGAATAAAATTTAAAGACAATTTGACGACAGTCAGTTTTGGTTCAAACAATGCTTTTTTTGGACTGTGATTGGTTTAGAATATGCAGATTTACACTGTACTAATTTTTTGAATAGATTTTTATTTTAAGTTATTACTAAAACGTTTAGTTAAAACAGCGATAGATATTTTGTTTATACGCGAAGCTATTAAACGTCCAAAGATGATATTTACAAATTATAATGTAAAAGTTCGAATTTATCATATTTTAACAAGTTTAATGACAAAAACCTTATAACTGTAAATAATACGTTATTATTTTTTTGTTTTTGCAGGAACCTCATTTACAGCCGTCAATTCCTGGGGGTCCTGCTGAAATACAACATTTCTCATTATTGGATTAAGACAGTTGTGGTTATAGTTAGTATAAACGAAATTACTGATAATTTTAAAATAATAATTGTTTTACCTTACCTTAGGAAACTTGAATAATGGCAACCGATTCTTACAATTTTCACTGACTGGCAACATATCTTCTGTTTTTAATTTAATAATCGTTCGTGGTAAGTATAGCCATAAATAATGATGATTAAAATAATTATTAATTTTTGTATTTTTTTAACGAACATAATTTACAGCGACCAATTTTTGTGACATGCGCTGAGTGGCTACAAGTCATCTTTTTTTAATTAGAATAGTCGTGTTTGGTGAGTATATACATAATAATTGGTTATTGTAAAATTTTAACTTTTTTTTTCTTCCCCCAGGAAGTATTTATTTATAGCAACCAATCTTATAGCTGCTCATTTCAACTATTGTAGTTATCAAATGGAGTATTTGCTGTCAATTCATAATCTGGAATAATTAAGAAATTACAAGTATTTCAAAGAATTCAATATTCTTTATGATTAAGGTTATAATATATCAACCTAACAAGATGTGGATTAAGTGGAAATTATAATTTGTTTATATACTTGTAATAAAATATTTGTTCATACATTCCAATACTTTTGAATATATTCTCCTAAATATATAAAAAAAAAAAATTAGAAAAGGCAGAGTAAAAAAGGAGGAGAGTAACTACTCCAAAATTAATTTACTCAAAATTGTTTGTTGCGCCTTGGTTCCAAAAGAAAAGTCTATTTAATTAAATTGTATTTTTCATGGTCTCTTCGGTTTATTTAAAATCTATTCTAGGAGAGTTATTAATTTAAGGGAATGAAAATCCCTTTTACTGTTTTCTGCGGTAGGTAAATAGGGTTCCAGAAAAAAATGTTACCTAAAAACCATATCATAAAAATTGATCGGTTTTTAAAATAAACTGTGTACAATATCTAAAAGTTAACATTTAAACCTTAAAAAACTACCTAAGTGTACCTCAGGAAACTCTGTCTTATTTTAAATACGTTTTTATTCATCTTTTATTTAGAATGTACCAATGGGTTAAAATACTTTTTAGAAGTATCTTTTTACAAGACAATATATTGTAACTGTTACGCTCTAAAAATACCCTAGAAAAACTTTTACAACAAATATTTCATAGAAAAAGTTACTAGTTAAAAATACATTTTTTTAATTTAAAGCCCTCTACAGACAAAAGTTTTATTCGTGACGTGATATGCAAAAAGCATATCCAAAGTTTATGAATGTTTGTTTATCAATAATATTAGAATACATTTAACGTGCTTTTAAGTAATCTAAATTTTAGTTCTTGTCACTAATATTCCGTCTCTTTTTAGATTATACCGCACTATCAACACTAAACAATTAAAGAATAACATAAAAATAAGTTACAGTGGTTACAGACAAAAAAATCATTATAAAGTATGGTTTAATGTTATAAATTATATTAATAACTAACTAACTTAGAAAATGATTAAAGGTTATACATTATAATGCGAAATAAATTGGATACTCAACGTTTCTGGGCTCATAGAAGTTATTTAAGTACACACTTATGTTGGTCTGTTATTAAATAATACTATCTATAATATAATCGTTTTACTTTTGGTGTGTACATGCATATAATAAATATACATATAGTATATTTAATCTATGGTACATGTAAATATGCACTCCACAATGCAATATTTTAATTTGGTTTGTTGTTTGTAGGACACTGGATTAAAAGTGGACGCCTTGCAAAGAGCTAGTGGCCGTCTTTGTTAAATCAACCGATTTATGGAGCGCTTTCCATGCAGCTTATAACAATTAAAAAACTGGGAAAGCTACCTATCCCTAAGAAAAGATGCTTGGAATTGGGAATACCACTCAAAAAATTCTTCGATGCGAATTTTAGATGGTAATATTATTAAATATCAATATAAATTACAATATAGACATTAGGTATATGTGTTTATGGTGATAGGTTGTATGTATTTTCGGAAGACATCAATTTTCTCGAAAAATAATTAAAATTGTACGATTACTTAGCCGTCTACAGTTATAATAAAATAAAAATTGTTTGATGTTTGATAGAGTCCCACCAACCTAATCTAAAAAACAAAACTATAAAATTGACTCGAAAAAAAACGAAATTTGGAATATTATGGCTGAATTGGAACAATGAATGTTTTGAGAATGAAAAAAGTGAAATAAGATAGTTAAAGTTTCCAAGTAAATAAACACACCCCTGGACCTCATATCCTCGAAATTGGGCTTATTGAATTATCGGGTGAATGAAAAACTAAACGTTTTAGAATCTGACCTTTGAGTAATTAAGCAGAGGATAACTAAAAACAACTTAAAAAAATAACAATTTTTTTTACAAAATTTCAATAATGAAAATGACACTATTTGCCAAATCACCCTTATAACTAATATATAAGCAGTTAGTGATACGTAGTTATAATATTATCTAATAGACTGGGCCAAAAAAAATGGTGCAATCGGTACAGTAGTACACAAAGAAGATATTAGACTTTTTTCATTTTTTTTTTTTGTACTATTATAGTTATTAGGCGGGACAAATTTAATGTATTTTTCAAAATTTTAACACCATCCCTTATGCGTTAAAACCATATCAACTTTGGATTTTTAAATGGTAACCCCCAATTTTTTTTTGGTGATCGTGTTTATTTTTTTTAAATTTAATTTTAGGCGTAAAAACTAGGTAAATCGATTGAGTAGTTAACGAGCTACACAGTTTTAAAATTAAAGGGAGTGTAAAAAATAAATTAAATATCTTGGAGACACTAACATATTAAGGTGACACTTGACTGCTCTCTGTTATTATTTATTGACAATTAACTTTGACAATAGCTATAGTAGCGTTTAAAAATCATAACCGTACCAAACACTATTTACTTTAGATAAATAATTCACCGATAGTAAATAATAATGATAACCGCTATATCGACTGACAAATATACCACCACTACACACTTTTACATTTATTTTATAAAATAGTAGGTATGTTTAATTTGTTATCAATACCTTGTGTATATTTTTCCAGCATTTAGCAATTATATGTTTTGGTTAATTTGACACATTTTGTTTATTCATGCGATTTGTACGTCTTAATTTCATAGTATATTATAATAATATAGTATCATAACTTACTAGATCTATGAACTTGTCAACATTTATTGTGTTTTAAATAATAACATTGATATTAAATATCCATAATCAATGTGAATACCAAGATGGAGTTTTGCTCAAGTGACAAGTCTATAAAACCTATAACCTTAATTATAAAATGTATGCACATCAAATATCAAAATTAAAGGTACTTATAATAATAATATGTTATTTAAAATAAATAGAGTAATTTGAATTATGCTTGATGATATTTTAATTGAAACTTTTATTCTTACAGTATTATGTCTTTGTTCTGAGAAACTTATAAATGTGTAGTTTTGTGTTTTAATATATTGGTATCTGAATTCAAAGAAAAAATATAAAATTTTTTATGAAAAAATTGAATCTTCAATCATCATTTACTGAATCAACAATAGGTAAGATAATGTATTTATTAATATAGGTGTATTGTATAAGTACATTTTTTTATTAGAAAAATATAATTAATCGTTTTTCAATATTCATGAACATATAAAATGTTTTTAAATAATAAGTTTTTTTGGATTACTTATGTTTATCATACTTAATATGTTTAATTAAAATGCGTTACTTAAAAATTAACGTTTGACTTAAAAATTATCATACTTGTATAATTATAAAAAATATGTGTATACTGATATTTGTTGCTTAACCATATAATTATTTAAGTATCTAAGGAACTTATTTAATTTTTTTAATTATATGTTTCAGTATGTTCAATATTAATATGGACTATCTCCAACTTAAATTGATATTTGTTATTGTCTACAACTACACTACTACCAACGTCAAATTTGGTGTACTATATTATTGTAGTCAATCAGTCTAATCTTATTCCATCAATACATTGTCAAATGTTGTGGTATTCAATTTTCAGTAAATTTATAGGTGTTTTATTTTAAGGTAAAATATATAAGATCATCAGTTAGCAATAATTTAGTTAATTTCTATGAATTCATCTCTAACAATTTATTTTTATTATTATTATTTTTTAGTTACTGTGGCACACTATTGCAGATAACGAATTTCCATTAAGTCAGTAAGAAGAAAAAGATGGATTCACAAGTTCAAATCAAATATTAGACAACTATATAGTTTAGTTATTCGGCTAAAAATGTAATTCAATAAAATAATTTAAAAGTACTTTATCATTTTAAAAGTGACATAAAGTTCTCTGTACAACACACATATACTTAACATATCTATAATTATTATACATTATTTATTAATTATTAATGATGAATTCTTTATTTAATATTAATTTAATCTAAAATGCTGCTGAAAATGTTAATATTTCTAAAATATGTTATTGTCTTAATCCAAATCTTGAAATTATTTTCATGATGGCATAGTTTTGGCATTAGCTATTACAGAATTTATTGACAACTTTCTAGTGGTTTACGATTAAGTTTTTATAAGTAATAAAGTAAATAAAATTATAAAACACAAAATAGAAAAAAAAAAATGTTAACTATTGAATTAAGTGTAAAAAAGTAAATTGAATGAATATACTTATAAATATTTTTTAACTTAAATATGTAAATGGAGATGGATTTCTTCTAGTGGGAAATTACCAAACAAACTTTACTGTCCAAGGTAACTTCCTATAAATACATCACTATATACAGCAATATGTTGTACCTCTATTATTTACAAGTTAATTATAGATATGTTAATTTTATTTAGTCTTAGTTTTTCAATATGACTTAGCAAATAAAAATGTTTATTCGTATCTTATAAGCGTATTATTTATCTTGTTACTTGTTTTTTATTTTACTATTATCATAATAAACATAACATAATATAGTATTTAAATGTTTGTTAGTAATATAATTATTGAATTTTAAACTTATGACTGTTAAAAAAGCCATACAAAAACAAACAAAATTGTACTTTTTCATTGTCACTCTAAATTTTTGTTTATACCTCGTACAACGAAAAAAACAATCATTTATTAAATAAGAAACATACTTTTACTCTTCATATTATGAACACATTAAAATAAGTAAGAATAGTCAATACTATGAAATATATACAGTATAGGATATAGTAGGTGTAATATAATAAAGAGTTAATAAATAATACAGCTTTTAATAATTAAAAATACTGAACTAGAAATAGTTAAAATTAACGCGTTACAACTTTAAATTATAAAAATGAAAATTTATTTTAGTGCACAAGTATTGGATGAACGTATTTCTTATGGAATCCTTTGTTATCTAAACATTTTAAGAAACACACTAGATGCCTTATAAAGATGTTGTTTGACATCTTAAGTACCTATCATAACCAGTTCAGACAAATGCTAAAATAGTTTCTGTACATATTAAGTTTAGTTTTTGTTTATTTCTGTATATATTCTGTACATATTATCTATTAACTGTATGTAATACAACATTATACTAAAAAAACAAAAAATTGAATGTTATTTATTAAAGTTTTTTTAAAAATATTTTCACTAACAGAATTAATAATTTGACTAGTTAAGACACCAGTACAAGTAACACTTATTAAGACCAAGACGCTAAATATTTAAAGTAAAAACCAAGACGCTAAATAACCATTATCATTGAAAAATTAGAATAATGAACTTTTTTATTAGTTTTCAAGTAGTCGTATTTTTATAATAATTTGTTCTGTGTTGATATTAATCTACACTAGTAACGAATCGTTTTGGTAGAACCACGGTATATACTCTATATAAGACCGTGATTAGACCACGGTAACCTATGGTTGAAATTGAAAAAAAAAACTATTTACTAGGGCTCATAATATTGTTTGTTAACAGCAGCTAATGCCTAATATTCAATACGTACAGGTACACCGCACCGCTAGGAACACTACAGAAAAAACAGATAAGAAGACATTACCCATATAATATTGTTATAGATTTATTATTAGTTCGTTTTCATTGTGACCGACGACCGTCAACTATTAACTTTAATCTACAACCGTATCGTTAATCAATCTTATTTTGTGAAACGTGAGATCCGGCGATAAACGATTTTTTTCTTTAGCTGTAAAACTTATAAAAGCATCTCATATAAGCTAATATTATAATATTGTAGTACTAAGCTATAACTTTAAAAGTACTTGTCTGATTTAGCTAGTTTTTACGCCTAAAATTAAATTTTAAATAAATAAACACGATCATCAAAAAAAATTTGGGGGTTACCATTTAAAAATCTAAAGTTGATATGGTTTTAACGCATAAGGGATGGTGTTAAAATTTTGAAAAATACATTAAATTTGTCCCACCTAATAACTATAATAGTACAAAAAAAAAATAATTAAAAAAGTCTAATATCTTCTAAGATATTGAGTGGTCCATAGTTAACCAATCACCCGGTATATCCGAAATGTTTACTTCCGTTTACCGGTCAAATTTACATCCGCTAGCTCTACTTCCGGTATTTGCACAAATTTACTCCTACCCAAAACATCGTACCGCATGATAATTGTATGGTTACTTAAGTCGTCTCTTGTCTTATGATTTTCTGCGAGATAAGTATCCACATAATTTTGATATTTGTCGCCCAGAATATCCAATAATTGAGCCGTAGTAAGAGCAGTTGTAGCATTTTGATTACTACGTACTACAAAATTTTCTATAGACTGAAAAACCTCGTGCGTCCATTGAATCATTATAGGACCATACGTCTAAAAGGTAAGTAAATTAAAACACTATAATTGTTACAATTACAATATACATTTTTCGAATAACTTTTAATATATTTATATTTATATGTTAGCTACGTGATTATTTAGATAACAATTTATTTGAATGATGCACAGCTTTGCTTACAATAACAAAACGTGCTACCCAATTTTAGGTAAAATTAAAAAAAATTACACGCAAGGGGAACTTAATAAAATAAATTTACTAGCCATATTTTTAATTAAAAAACAAAAAGAAAATACAGTTTTCACGATGATAAGTAACCGTTTATTCAGTTTGCACGACTCTTACCTCAACCCCATCATCGAGTGGGATTTTGAACGCAGCTATTTGAACAAAGACATCTATAGTAAAACACAAAACCAAAATGTATTTTGTATTCATATTCTGTTTTTTTGTAATCTTTAATACTTTAAAATACGTGTTTAAATTTCAGTTAAAAAGTATATAAGTGATTTTTTTATAGATTAGTAAGTTATATTTATAGGGCATTCTCAGGGGCGGATAGGCATGATCTGACCAGCCCGGGAAAAATAGAATCTAAAGGCCCGCAAGATCATATCCAAGATCCAACAAAACCTCTTTTTTTTTTTTGTTAAGAAAAAAAATAAATTATGATTTTACTATATCACAATATAGTGGTATTATTATATTATTTTACTATACCACTATACCAGTGGCGCACTTTGAAATCGAATTATCAAATTTTTTTTCGAAAAAATATTCCAACAGATCACTTAATTGACTATTATTTATAATTGTAGATTTAAATATAGATTTTAGTATTATTGTATTTATTAACTATTTTATTTGTATGTATGTACATTGTACAATATCGTCAATAACAATATTTTTCATCGGCCCATCTTCGTCAATATAAGTAGCGGCCCACCGGGAAAATCCCGGTGTCCCGGTGGGCCTATCCGCCCCTGGGCATTCTCGAAGAGCAACATACTAATAGTTTATCATACAACAGTATGTTTTTAAGAGTTTTAGTTTGCTTTAGAATGCTTTTGCTATTTTGTAAACAATACTTTGGCGTAAAGTAAAGTAATACATATTTTTATGCCGAAGAATTGTTTTGATAAAAAACATGTTTTACTATAATAACATATTTTTTGGCTGTAAATAGTAGAACATTTTTCTTCAAAATAATAATATCAAAATGCATTGGTATGTCAATTGGTTATGAAGATAATTATCAAGCAATAGCTATTATGCTAATTTGTTCATAGCTGTTAGCTCATATTAAGCGCTTTATTGTCAATTAGATTATTTTTTTTTTAATTAAAAGAACTTTGATTGGTATGCTGTGCCTGTTGGCAATTAAATGCAATCCAAATAAAAATTACTGTTATAGAAACGAATTTATTATACTCATAAATTTCGGCTCGATCCAACCATTATCAATTTATTTGGAGTTTCCCAATTTTAAGGGTGAAGAAGTGATTTTTGTTTATACCATAAGAACAAATCGTTTAGCAAGTATAAATTTCAATAGTAATATTATAATCTAGATATTATCTACAAAATCATGCTTTACTTGTAACGCTATTGTGGTTTATAATAATATAAAGTTGACAATATTTACAATAACTTACGTATGTTAATGTGTTTTTGTATGTTTTGTTAAAGTATTAACATCTACTCAGTGGCCCGAAACAAATAACAAAACAAAAAAACATGGTAAAACCCATATGTACTACCT